AATACATGTAGAGTATCAAGTAAGTGTAATTTATTAAATATTATTATACTAGTTTTTATTATATAAGGTATGGTATCCAATAGATATGTCGATACTATCCTGATAACATGTATTAACGAAATACCTTTCTTATCATTGTAGCCATTAAACACATAATAATAATAATAAATAAAAGTATTTTAAAATTTGAACTAGTTTAATACTTTAAATATAATTTAGTGAGCGTATAATTAATTAGTTTTAAAATATCATAGAAATACATAATAAATGTGTTAATATTTATTTCTAATTAATATTTCTAATTAAAAAAATTGCGGGATTTTAAATTATGTAATGACCCACGTAATCATACATAAAACATATTGAAAATATATTTAACTTGATACTATAATTATATTACAGTATAACAAACTTCTATATTTACTGAATTATTATTTTATAATTTATTTGCATTGATAAATTCATATTTCTATAACAGATACCATGGTCAAAAATATAATTATCATTACCCTTACCGCACTGGTAGCCCCGATTATATTGGCCGTTGAGCCTATAGGTCCCGATCCCACGAAACTACACGACTGTGTCGTAAAAGCCCGCAATGATTGGGGTATAAGTGTTACGACTGGCCACCAGATGGATAAGTGGTGTTGCTTTCAATGGCAGGCCTACGAGTGCCAAATGGAGCTAGGTGATACGTTAACCGAGGATGATAAGCAAGCATTTACAACATCGCAAAAGGCTATACATTTGCAACTGGAAGCTGATTGTACTAATTATCCAGCTAGTTTGTGTGATAATCATGCATTTCATTCAATCATTGATGCAATAATACTTTGATAATGTTCTAGATGTTTAATATTTTATTATGATTGCTATAAATAATCTAGATATTGTATGGCTATTACACTTTAATTCATGATAATTGTTTAATATCACATTTAATAATATATGTTATAGTCTATAACTTATAGATAAATATAATATATAAATATAAACTAATAAATTATTAAATAATTCAGAAACTACTGCCAAAATAAAAATTATAACATATTCTGTAAATGTAAACAATATAAATTATGTTGGTTAAAGGTCGTGTTTTATATAGTAAAAATATACCGTTTCTAGCATGTTCAAATAAAAAGCAAACATTTAAATTGATTAATTTCTAAGTAAACTTAGTTATTTGAATTAAGTTATAATTTTTAAATATTTTCTTAATTATTTATAAATTATAAATTAAAATGTAATAATTTTATACTTACAATGTAAGTCTTACGTATACTTTATTTTTATCAATATTACGGTATCCAATGGATATACTCTTTTGATAACATGTGTCAACAAAATACCTTTCTTATCTTGGCAGCCATTGTTAATGTATAATAAAATAACAGTATTTTTCAAATAACTAAACAAGGTTTTCAATTCAAAATTAGTTTCAAACTTGAAATAAAATCTAGTAAGTATTTAAAATAATATTTTTAATTTAAAAATGATTTTGTTAATTTTAATGTTAAATAACTTTAATATTATTAAGTAGTTATTAAACATGTTTACATTAATTAACACTGCAATATAATCTAGAATATATTTTATTAATTAAAATAAAAAACTTAATTAATATATTTTCTAAACAGACACCATGCTCAAACATATCATAATTATGATCATTACGGCACTGGTAGCCCCAACCATACTGGCCGTTGAGCCCATATGTCCCGATCCCACAAAAATTCACGAATGCGTGACTAAAGCCCGCAATGATTGGGGTATAAGTAATACGACTGGCCATCAAATGGACAAATGGTGTTGCTTTCAATGGCAGGCCTACGAGTGCCAAATGGAGCTAGGTGCAGTATGTACCGGGGTTGATAAGCAAGCATTTATTACATCGCAAAGGGCTATACATTTACAACTGGAGGACGATTGTGCTGACTATGCAGCTAGCACATGTAATTTTTAATGTACCATTATTAATCTACTTACATTACACTGATCATATTTTGTATAATTTATATTTTGCTAATTGATTATAGTCATATTATAAAATTAAAAGGTGCATTTAATAACTATAAAAATGAATTGTGTATTTCTATTTATTATAATTTATTTAAAATAAAGGTCACAGAAATTTAAATAAACGAACAACCCCGATTATCAGTACCCATGATCTGTTAGGTTGTCTATGATTTGACCTACGTTGATTTGACCAACAATACCTACAATACTAAAATATTAACGGTTCCGACTATCGAATCATTGCATGTGATATTTGGTTGGAATCAGCTCAATGAGTTGGTCAAGACATTAACACCTTAATCTGGATTAGCTAATATTCCTCCATGGTCAAAGAAGATAATTCTATTTAATTTAACTCAAGAAGATAATTTCTTACTCTACTCATTGAGTTGATTCCATCGATATACCACATGCAATGATATGATGATCGGAACCGTTATAAATTGGATAAAATTTTAACATTATAGGTTTTGTAGGTCAAATCAACGACTACGGATCCGGTACCTGCAGAAAACGGATATTTATTTTTCTATGCAAAATGTATTAATAACATAATAATTGGCAATTTTAAATTGGTGTAGACCGTGCAGAAGACGGACATTCATTTTGCACCGCAAACTGAATACTAAGTCTAATCAATGATTGCAATAATACCACACAATGTTTCTTAATTTTAAAAAGTTGAAAAGTTTATTTTGATATGTATACAGTTTGTAGTGAAAAATAAATGTCCATCATATCCATGGTATACACCAATTGCATTCATTGCATAATATATTGATACATTGTTATGGCAATATTATGTTATGTATACAGTTTTCATTGAAAATAAATATCGATTTTCAACACTTTGCTGATTAATTATAAAATGTTTTGTAAATAATTCACTAGCTATTACTTTTTCTTTAGTTATCAAGCATTTCCTTTTATAATGTTAGCATCCTTACTAAAATAGCTAATTTTAAAAAATACTTAAATGTATTTATTAAATTATATATTTAATTCCGTATTCATATTACTTTATAAAGCAATTGAATTATTTATAAATGTTGCATTTTAAAATACAAGCAACTTTTTAAAAGCATTATAATCTATAAAACAAATGCGCTCAAAACTTTAAACCACGCAGATTGCCAAGCCTCCTGAAATCGAGCCAGGTACTCGTATTTAGCAGGCAAACCCTCGGCAGTGAGCCGGGCCTTTATCTGAGCGCCTATAGCCTTATCGATACCGTTGCCAATATCGCGGAAACCATGCGATATGCACTCAAAAAAGTCCGGTTCGTTCGTAACGTCCAATTTGGTATAAACCCCAGCATTAGGTCGGTGTATCTGATCATGGTTTGTTCCAACACAGGTATGTGGTGATTCTTGTTCGACGGTGGTGAGCTGGGTACATTGTTCAAGATCCAGGTGGCCAGGGCCGAAAATTGTTGTCGTATATAAAACGTGTGTACGTTATACCTAGTTTCCCACGGCGTATGATCATGGACAGTTCGTAAATTATTTTCAGTGTAAAACGACATAAGATTAATGAACAGCTGTAGAAGTCAACCATATCGGTCCGGAGGACGTAGTTAAAGTTATCCGGATTCTTAGCGAGTTGATCCACTGCAGCAGCCTGACGATCCACGTTACCATGGAAAGTTTCACCCTCTGTAGCAAAAAAAAGGTTACGATCACTGAAACATTGAATCATACATTCGAGTCTATGATATTTTTCGGATAATGGCGAAAGTCGATCCGATAAGCTAGCTTGCTCAGATTGAGACACTAGTGCTAGCGCGAATAATAAGATAAGGGTCATTATGATAACTTTAGGGGTTATTTAAATTTAAAGTTAAAAATATAATACTATTAAATAATCTGTACATTTAATTAAATGCTACTGTTTATGAGATATAAATTTAATTTTGAGTTATAATTTATGTCGATAATGATTCTGTATAAATGAATCACGTATTGGTTATTTATAGTTTAAAATGTTATTGTTAATATTATTATGCCCTCTTAATCATTTTTATTTATAATCTTAGAAATCTTTAAAAAGTGGCTAAAATTTAAAAAAATTTACTCGTATCTATTAATTCTATTATTTATTTAATTCCGTATTCATATCACTTTTTATAAAGTAATTGAATAATATAAAAATGTTGCAACATGTTAAGCGCATTAAAATTTATATAACAAATGCGCTCAAAATTTTAAACCACGCAGATTGAAAAACCTCCTGAAATCGTGCCAGATACTCATATTCAACAGGCAACCCCTCTGCAGTGAGCCGGGCCTTTATCTGAGCGCCTATACCCTTATCGATAGCGTTTCCAATATCGCGGTAAGCATGCGATACGAAGTCGAAAAAGTCCGGTTCGTTGGAGGCGTTCAAATTAGTGTAGGTCCTCAACATCAAGTCGGTGTATCTGATCATGGTCTCTTTTAGGACAGGTATGTGGTGATTCTTGTCCGTCGGTGGTGAGCTGGGTACGTTGTTCAAGATCCACGTGGCCAGCTCTATCATTTGTTGTCTTATGTAAAACGTGTGCACGTTGTACCTTGTTTCCCACGGCGAATGATCGTCGGTAGTTCGTAGATTATTTTCCGTGTAAAATGATAGGTGATTTACGAACAAGTGTAGAAAGTCAACCACGTCCGTCCGGACCGCGTAGGCAAAGTTATCCGGCTCACTAGCGAGTTGCAGCGCTGATTCAGCCAAACGGGGTACGTTGCCATCAAAAGTTTCATCCTCTGTAGCCAAGAATAAGTTACGATCTTTGATACATTGAAACATCGCTTCGAGTCCATGATAACTTTCGGATAATGGCGAAAGCCGATCCGACAAGCTAGCTTGCTCAGATTGAGGCATTAGTGCTAGCGCGGCTAATAGGATAGGGGTCATTCTTGAAAAACTCATAATGGTTACTTTAAGAGTTATAATAATTGTTAACTTTAACATCTATAATAATTTTGATGTGTATGAGCTAGTTTCTTAAATACCTTGCATGTAAACTAAATTTATGTTTAAAATTATAGTTACGGCTAAATTATTAGAAAATCTATTTCAGTATATGTTTTTGATTCTGGTTAAATAAATCGTGTCTCATTTACATGTAATTTATTATTACTAGTAATAGCATACGTGCTTGATATATGCTTGATATCAAGTTGTAACTTAATTAAATAATTTTAAAATTTATTATTACAAATATATTTACATTGAATACAACTTCACGCAATTAATAATAAATAACTCACGACTGCTATTATGCAGAATAATCTTAGTTTTATTTAGATCTAGTAAAACAACATGTCCAGGTCCTAATTTTATATTCACGGAATGAATTGTAATTATTATCATATTGATATATGAAGTTTTTAATGACAAATAATCAAAAAATCATTATTCTAACTGTAAGGATTAATGAGTTACACTGGATTTTATTCTTATATTTCAAAGCAAAATAATAAGAAAACCACATGAGATTTTTAATTAGTTTCTTCACTATATTATATTGACAAATATCCTTCATTAATTGAATTAAGAAATATTTAGATTACCAATTAATTTGAGACAGATAATGATGTTTTAAAAATATAAACATGAATTCACTGGTCTTACCCCTAAAAACCCAAAGGTATGAAAAGCCGATTTAGTAGATATAGTAGTCTACTTTAAGTTACAGAAGAGAAACTTTTGGGTTTTTTGGGGTAATATAGTGATTTTTGCATTACTAAAAATTATGACATGCACAATTTTTCATAACTTGAATTTATACCCTAGATCGATTCCCCATCAAAAAATAATTTTGAGAAAATAAAATCCATAAATTACGTTTCTAACAAGTACGTTATTTTTGGATGGAAATAATTTTAAATAAGTAATAAAAATTACGACTATGATTTTTATTGTTAGATTTTAAAAAGACTGGTATTTATTGCTTCAATGCCGTTCTGCATTAACTACTTAAAAATTTTAACTTTAAAATAAAAAGCTACCCCTTAGCTTTTAGTGGGTTGGTGCAAAGTTGAAAAAATAGCTGAAAAGGTAGTCTGAAAATATACGACAAACTGTAAGAAATTGTACGATGGGGAATCGATTTAGTGGGTTGGTGCAAAGTTGAAAAAATAGCTGAAAAGGTAGTCTGAAAATGTACGACAAACTGTAAGAAATTGTTGTATTTTTAAACGTGAATAACTTTTTAATTATTAAAGTTACAAAAATAATTTTTACATATTTATATATCATTTAATAAGCTTATTTTATTTTGTTAATTTCACCAAATTATATTAACATTGATCAATACCTTGACATCGTGTTTATAATAATAATTTTATATTGTGTTTAATATTTAAATAATTATGTTTAAATGGAAAATTTTATTTTATATAATATGTTAATTACTAGACGATGGCGATAATCCTAACGGAGAGATCAATGAATACGGTTTTATTAGTTGTATTACTCCCAAAACGGACGGGGATTATCAGAAATATAAGTGGGAGTTCACTGAAAATCCTGGACAAATAAGCACGACTACAACTAATTATGATCAAGGAACAATAAGTCAAAATCTTACATTAATAATATCATTTACGGCTGTTGTGGTCATATTAATGATAGCATTAGTGGTATTTATAATATTGTATTGCATTCAATCCAAACAATTGCAAAATACTTCAAATGACTATGCTAAATATGAAGTACCTAATGCTAATAAGGACCAGGATTATATGGAAATATATACGGATAACTGTAAGATTATTTATGATAAAATAATTTTAAAATAATTAACATATTTTAATTATGTTTTAGTGCCTCAACCACCAGTTGCAAGATATCAAAGCTCATCACCAGTGGAATCAAGACATTCAGATGATATTTATGACTAAAACGACAATATTATACAAATAAATTAGTATAAATATACTATAATTTATTGACCAGTATAAGTTATAGTTTAAAGTTTAAATTATTTTTACAAATACAAAAAGGTTTGATAATATCAAATATTACTTTATAAAGTATGGAAAAGTATTCAGATATTATTTAATATATTTTTAATAATTTAAAGATTTTTAAAAATATAAAGATAATTATAAACTTTTTAAAAATCCACAATTGTATAAACATGAATTAGGAAATGCATAAATAAGTTATATAAGGACATGAGTCAATGATAGTAAATATGTTTTTAACAGATAATAAATATTTAGATTATTTAGTACAGTTTTTTATGTATAACTACAATAGTATTTTTATATACACTAAAATACGAATGCAATAAATTCGAGTCTGAAAATTCACTTTAATTTTTAAGTTAACTATATTATAAAATTAATATTATTTAATCAAAATATGAGTGTGGGGTATGATAAAAGATTTTAATTATTATTGATTATATATTGATAGATTTTTATAGATTGACTTTTGTCAACCTTGATTCCAACGGATGTTGACATTCTCTGATGATAAGTTAGCTTCAAATTACAAATGTTTGTCAACTAATATAGTAATTAATACGTAATATTGTATTATAATATTGATATAAGTATTGGTTTTAATAATTATGTGTAGCTATAGATTATTTTTATCAATATATTAATAAATACAAAACTCCTTATAAGTTGATAGGAAGTTAACAAACATTTGCCAAATGAGTTTAAAAATAAATTTTTAATTTTAGTAACAGTACTAAATTTCATTTCAAATTAACACAAAGTACTATGGCGCTAAAAATTATTTGTTTTGTCTGTATTTCAGTGCTATATAATAGAGTAGCATGGTCATATCATATTCTGGATATGATGACCCATGAAAATTTGCCAATACATACCCACACTTACTATGCGATCAAAAATGTTGAAACTGAACGATACCTACAGTGGTTTGGGGGCGTAAATACAACCGATGAGGACCTGGATGAAAATAACAATAGATTTTATCATATATTGACGCCAATAAATGATACTCTGTATCGAATGCTACACTTGTCCGGATTTCATCAAGTTAAAATTTCACAAGCATTTGGAGAAAACAATACTTTATTTTATATTTATGATATTAGATGTGGTATGTGTATTGAACATTATGCTAATAAATTAAATATAGTAAAAATATCATATAAATAATTAAAAACATCCTAATTTTATAATTTATTAATACAGTAATGTTTTATTTATAATTAGCGCACGCTCATAAACCCATTGGTGATATATGCCAAAACGGTACCTGCTTTATTACCTGTCACGTTTCACACAATCGTAAAACTTTCAATGATAATATATTGAAATGGCAATTTATCCTAAAACCAAAACAAATCACCACGACTAATGACTATAATGATACTTCAAATGATACTAATTCTACAGAATATACCACCTTGGTTTATAGTCTATCAACAATATTCACTGAAAAGGCCGGACAGTCTGACACCACAACTATCCCAACCCATTCCCCCACAGCCCCTATAACTGATACAACTACTATAATATCGTCAACTATCGTAGATGTTGCAACAAGCAATTATGCTGATAATGAGGAGAAAAGTAACCATTCCCCAATTTTAATATACTCAATGTCCGGAGTAGTGGTTATATTGTTGATTATACTAGTGGTGTTTGTAGTATTGTTTTGTATTAAACGCAAACATATACGTACTAGTAACATTGATAATGATAGCAATTACAAATCAACATTTTATAGTAGTCCAGGTAATCTGCATATCGGAAGTATTGATACTGGTAAAATAATTTATAAAAATAAATTAAAATAAAACAAATGTAGTACCACAGAAATATCGTAACTGAGTTCGCATCTTACGACTACTTATATAAAATGGTCATTATTTCATAATTAATCCCATTTAGTTTATATTAAAGGGTAAAAAATTAACTTTTAAAAATAGTGTCATTTTATATGAATAGTCGTAAGATGCAAACTCAGCCACGATATTGTTGTGTTATAAATTTTGTTTTATTTTAATTCAAATACTTGATTAGGATTTGATTAAAATTTGTTAATTTTCAGCATCTACTAGAATTTCACGGAGTAAACCATCCTGGGTCTATACAAATAACGAAGATTTTAAATTTTAAATTAGTCATGAAATAATAGACATTCATAGATTTTCTATAAAACAAGCCCTTAAAAATTATTATTATTAAACTATAATGAGATTAAATGATTATTGTGCCATGTATTTCTATGTAATAAATAAAGATTTAAAAACTGGTATTGTTAAATGATTAACATTGATATAAACAATAGGCTAATATTCATTATAAAGAAAAAGTTAACAAATATTTTAATTTATGTCTTAAACCCAATCCATTTACTGCAGACAAGAGCAAATGTTATTGATTGGCAGTACCTGGTTCATCTGACTTTAAAAATAATTCACAAGAAATCATTACTTTTATTACTTATTTTTCACATTTTCTAATTAATTTCAACTTTTCTATAAAAGTTTTCTTACTTCCAACTCATATAAAATAAAATCTAATTTGTGTATGGGTTTTGAGAATGTCATTACAAATGTTGTAATACTGTATGACCATTTCTGGCCATCCTGCATTTCTATGATTTACTGTATAATGAATGTCAGTCTACTACAGTATAAAACACTATAAAGTATAACATTTTTCTCACACGTTTTACTCATAAGGATATGAAGGAGTGAATGGGAAACTGTATTTCCGTTTTATGTACTTTATATGGAAAATTTTATTTTCAACTAATTTTCAATAACTCGATAATATGTATATTTTTATTTGAATAGTTAGTGCTCTAATTTTTACAATAACTGTAATGTTTTGTGTAATTATAATGAATAAAGTGCAATTAAACATTTTTGTTCAATCAATTCTCAACATACAAATATTATCCTTGGTTATTTTTCTAATAATTACAAATTTAATAGGTATTAATTTAACAAACTATGAGTCCATTATAGACAAAAATACCGGTGCAAACTTAGCACTTAAGACAAACATCTACTATATTATCCAAAACAAAAAGTCTCACCGATTTTTGCTATGGTTTGGACCCAACTCTACACTACCCGGGGATTTGGTGTCCGAAAAGGCCAAAACATATCACGTGTTTAATAACCTAAATAATGGCTGGTATCGTATGAATCACTATTTCGGTAGTCATAACGTTAAGATTGCCCAGGTCCATAATGAGGGCTACTACTTTATTTATAACGAACTATGCTGTAAGTAAATAAACATGTTCATTAACTAAAATTGTTATAAATATTTTAATTAGTGATATATATATAGTATGTAAATTTATAATAATAATTTTATATTGTGCTTAATAATTAAATATTTATGTTTAAATATATAATTTAATTTTATAAAATATGTTAATTACTAGACCGTGGCGATAATCCTAACGGAGAGATCAATGAATACGGTTTTATTAGTTGTGTTACTCCCGAAACGGACGGGGATTATCAGGAATATAAGTGGGAGTTCACTGAAAAACCTGGACAAATAAGCACGACTACAACGACCACAACCATCACTACTATTACTACTACTGTATCACAACCTACATCAGTCACAGATAATTATGATCATGGAACAATGAGTCAAAATCTTACATTAGTAATATCATTTACGGCTGTAGTGGTCATATTAGTGATAGTATTAGTGGTATTTATAGTATTGTATTACATTCAATCCAAAAAATTGCTAAATACTTCAAATGACTATGCTACATACATGTATGAAGTACCTAATGCTAAAAAGGACCAGGATTATATTGAAATATATACGGATAACTGTAAGATTATTTATGATAAAATAATTTTAAAATAATTAACATATTTTAATTATGTTTTAGTGCCTCAACCACCAGTTGCAAGATATCAAAGATCATCACCAGTGGAATCAAGACATTTGGATGATATTTATGACTAAAGCGACAATATTATAGAAATATATTAGTACAAATAGACTATAATTTATTGACCAGTATAAGTTATAGTTTAAAGTTTAAATTATTTTTACAAATACAAAAAGTTTTGATAATATCAAATATTATTTTATAAAGTATGGAAAAGTATTTAAAATTTATTTAATATATTTTTAATAATTTAAAGATTTTTAAAAATATAAAGATAATTATAAACTTTTTAAAAATCCACAATTGTATAAACATGAATTAGGAAATGCATAAATAAGTTATATAAGGACATGGGTCAATGATAGTAAATATGTTTTTAACAAATAAATATTTAGATTATTTAGTACAGTTTTTTATGTATAACTACAATAGTATTTTTATATACACTAGAATACGAATGTAATAAATTCTAGTCTGAAAATTCACTTTAATTTTTAAGTTAACTATATTATAAAATTAATATTATTTAGTTAAAATATGAGTGTGAGGTATGATAAAAGATTATAATTATTATTGATTATATATTGATAGATTTTTATAGATTGACTTTTGTCAACCTTGATTCCAACGGGTGTTGACAGTCCCTGATGATAAGTGAGCTTCAAATTACAAATGTTTGTCTACTAATATCTGATAGACCAAAATGAGATGAACCTCTGAAAAATTGCTTTTATTTCTTATTGAAACATTGTTTTTCTGTAAAGTTTGAAATTTACTTATATTAAACTTGATAAATTTCAAATTTTACAGAAAAGCAATGTTTCAATAAGAAATAAAAGCAACTTTTCAGAGGTTCATCTCATTTTGGTCTACCAAATATAGTAACTAATACGTAATATTGTATTATAATATTGATCTAAATATTGGTTTTAATAATTATGTGTAGCTATAGATTATTTGTATCAATATGTTAATAAATACAAAACTCCTTATAAGTTGATAGGAAGTTAACAAACATTTGCCAAATTAGTTTTAAAATATATTTTTAATTTTATTAATAGTACTACATTTCATTTCAAATTAGCACAAAGTACTATGACGCTTAAAATTATTTGTTTTGTCTGTATTTCAGTGCTATGTATTAGAGTAGCATGGTCATATCATATTCTGGATATGAAGACCCATGAACATTTGCCAATACATACCCACACTTACTATGCGATCAAAAATGTTGAAACTGAACGATACCTACATTGGTTTGGGGACCTGGTGCATACAACCGATGAGGACCTGGATGAAAATAACAATAGATTTTATCATATATTGACCCCAATAAATGATACTCTGTATCTAATGCAACACTTATCCGGATTTCATCAAGTTAAAATTTCACAAGCATTTGGAGAAAACAATACTTTATTTTATATTTATGATATTAGATGTGGTATGTATATTGAACATTATGCTAATAAATTAAATATACTACAAATATAATTTTCTAATTTATTAATACAGAAATGTTTTATTTATAATTAGCACACGCTCATAAACCCATTGGTGATATATGCCAAAACGGTACCTGCTTTATTACCTGTCACGTTTCACACAATCGTAAAACTTTCAATGATAATATATTGAAATGGCAATTTATCCTAAAACCAAAACAAATCAACACGACTAATGACTATAATAATACTTCAAATGATACAAATTCTACAGAATATACCACCTTGGTTTATAGTCTATCAGCAATATTGATGCTATTTGCTATCGTGATAATTGTATTGATAATATTGTATTACTTAAAACATGTAAAGTATATAAAAATATTGAATAATTCGTATATTGCTCCAAATAATAGTTATGAGGACCCTCGTGAATATTTAGAATTGTACCAAAATTAGTAGTATTAATATAATTATGTACATTTTAAATTACAAGTTTTTCAGGTTATATAAAGTAAAATGTAATTACATTTAAGTTTACAATACTGATTAATATTTTAAAGCAATATTTGTATTTAATTTTTATGTAAAAATAAATTATAATTCTACGGAACCTTTGTTTAAATAAAAAATTTATTTTAGTAAAACATCATATTAGGAATTATAAAATCTATCAAAAATACGTAAATTATTGCCTGTTATTAAGAAATTAAACGCTGAAAATGGAGTTAATGGGAAGTATCCTTTTGGGAAAATTATATGTGAATATATTGTTATTTTCCAATATATTAATACACAAATTTGATTATTATTTTATACAATGTTTTTTATTTAATATCATTATACAAGTATTTATTTTATTAACAGAATTATTTTAATATACATTTATATTCTGTATACAATACCACATTATATAATATTTTATATTGATACCTGTTATGATGATTAGCCTGGTGTCCTTTATTAGTTTTATACTTGTTATTAATTCATCAAGGGTTTTAACTAAGTCTGAGTCTATTATTGATAGGACTACCGGTGAAAAGCTTCCCCTTAAGACTGATACCTATTATAGCGTTCATAACAAGAAATCCCATCAATTTTTGTATTGGTTTGGAAACACTGATACAGTGGCCTGGGATCACGTGGTTAATGATGAGCATAAATATCATATACTTCATAACCTGGATAATGGGTGGTATCGAATGCGCCATTTCACTGGTCATCATAATGTCAAAATTGCCCAGGCTCCTTATGAAGGCTCATATTTAATATACGATGATAATTGCAGTAAGTTTTTGACTACATTTTATACTTGTACTGTTAATTTACTGTTGTAACCTAGTATACATTATTCAGTATAATATATACAGAATTTATAAATAATTTTTAAAACTAAATTATTATCATTTTTTAAGTATATTTAGTTTTTAAATATTTTTCAAGTTTATTTAGGTTATAATAATTAAAACATTTATACTACTATAGCAAATGGCGATAATCCATATATGGAAAATATATTTAATTTTGGACAAATAGACTGCGATAGACCAGAGTGGGCGTGGCAGGGTGATACCTATTCGTATAAACTATGGGTATTCACTGAAAAGGCCGGACAGTCCGACACCACAACTATCCCAACCCATTCCCCCACAGCCCCTATAACTGATAATGAGGGGAAAATTAATGATTCCCTAATTTTAATATACTCAACGTCCGGAGTAGTGGTTATATTGTTGATTATATTAGTGGTGTTTGTAGTATTGTTTTGTATTAAACGCAAACATATTCGTACTAGTAAAATTGATAATGACAGCAATTACAAATCAGCATTTTATAGTAGTCCAGATTATCTGCATATCGGAAGTACTGATACTGGTAAAATAATTTATAAAAATAAATTAAAATAAAACAAATGTAGTACCATAGCAATATCGTAACTGAGTTCGCATC